GGTTGTTGTTGTTTTTATAAAAAAAGACTTAATCTTATGCGTGGAAACAATCTAATTTCTTTGTTGGTGTGGGTCATTGTTTAGTGCAATATTTATAGCGGATTCTGCTGTAAATGCCCTTCTGTGCCACAGGATACAGCGTGCACAATAATCTAAAGGCCAAACAGACATTTGAAACCAGGCTTGGATCTACGAGAGAGTAGAAGCGACAGGCGAGGGGGTCCTCATCCCTGCTCATGTTAGTGTCTGCTCCAGGTGAACCTCCAGGTAATACTGTTTGAAATACTGCCTTCTGTTTGAAACCTGGAAAGCTACTGCCAGCCAGTGTCAACAAGCCTGAGTTAGATGGACCAATGGCCCGTCTCCGTGAAAGGCAGCTTTCCAGGGCAAGAGGTAGAGCACATCCACATCTGAAGTTCTGGAGAGCAACTGCCACTCAGTGTAAAAAACTTTTTTAAAAAATATGCCTTTCAAATTTTGTTGTTGTTGTTGTTTAGTCATTTAGTCGTGTCCAACTCTTCATGACCCGATGGACCAGAGCACACCAGGCACTCCTGTCTTCCACAGCCTCCCGCAGTTTGGTCAAACTCATGCTGGTAGCTTCGAGAACACTGTCCAACCATCTCGTCCTCTGTCGTCCCCTTCTCCTTGTGCCCTCCATCTTTCCCAACATCAGGGTCTTTTCCAGGGCGTCTTCTCTTCTCATGAGGTGGTCAAAGTATTGGAGCCTCAGCTTCAGGATCTGTCCTTCCAGTGAGCACTCAGGGCTGATTTCCTTCAGAATGGATAGGGTTGATCTTCTTGCAGTCCATGGGACTCTCAAGAGTCTCCTCCAAAACCATAATTCAAAAGCATCAATTCTTTGGCAATCAGCCTTCTTTATGGTCCAGCTCTCACTTCCATACATCACTACTGGGAAAACCATAGCTTTAACTATAAGGACTTTTGTTGGCAAGGTGATGTCTCTGCTTTTTAAGATGCTGTCTAGGTTTGTCATTGCTTTTCTCCCAAGAAGCAGGCGTCTTTTAATTTCGTGGCTGCAGTCACCATCTGCAGTGATCATGGAGCCCAAGAAAGTAAAATCTCTCACTGCCTCCATTTCTTCCCCTTCTATTTGCCAGGAGGCAAATATACATTTCACTAATTTTACAATCATTTTAACGTTCGAAACTTGGCTTCCTTCCCCCTCTTTTTGCAGTTCCTTAATTTTTTTAATATCTTCTGCATATCCAAATTCATTTAATTTGCTCATTTATTTATCTTCTTTAAATATATACTCTTATGAAACTGCAGGTTATTACAATAATCCTGCCAATGTCCTTATCTGTTTGAAATTTATCTGTAATTATTCAATAAACCATTTCCATTCTTTTATAAAAAGACTGTTATCTTGATTTCTTTTTCTTCCGGTAAGTTTTGCCATTTCTGCATATTCCGTAAGTTTTTGTATCCATTCTTACTTTGCTGGGACTTCTGCTTCTTTCCATTTTGGGGACGAGTAACATTCTTGCTGCTGTAGTAGCATACATGAATAAGTTTCTATACAGTTTTGGTAGTTCTGTCCCTATAATTCCCAAAAGAAAAGTTTCTGTGGGTTTTTGTTTTTTTTAACAAACACTGTTTTAAACATCCTTTTCAATTGCTCAGTATAAATGATGTTGAGTGAGATGAGTCTGACTCTGTGTAAAACGATTTCCAACATCCCTCACTTTCTTCAGAAAACTTGCGCGGGCAGCAGCTTACAAGAGCTTCCAGTGGATGATGATGATGATGATGATGATGATGATGATAATACCCTGCCCATCTGACTGGGTTGCCCCAGCCACTCTGCGAGGCTTCTGCCATAATAAAAACACAACAAAACATCAAACATCAAAAACTTCCCTGTACAGGGTTGCCTTCAGACATCTGATGGGAGGACATTCCACAGGGCAGGCGCCACACCCGAGAAGGCCCTGTACTTGGTTCCCTGTAACCTCACTTCTCACAGCAAGGGAACCACCAGAAGGCCCTCAGCGCTGGACCTCAGTGTCCGGGCTGGATGATGGGGGTGGAGACGCTCCTTCAGGTATACAGGACGGAGGCCGTTTAGGGCTCTGAAGGTCAGCACCAACACTCTAGAGTACATAACCCATCATCCCTGGCTTTTGGCCGTGCTGGCTAGGGAGGATGGCAGGTGGAGCCTAGCATCTTTTCGAGGGCACTGTGTTGGCCACCCCTGCTGTAGCATCTGTTGTATGCCAGCCATTCACCGGGCAGAGCCAAGATGCCGGTGCCTGAAGTGTCTGCGCTGGGAAGTTCTCAAGAAAAACCGTGCCACTCCTGCCCCCCAAGTGTGCTTTGTTTGCTTGGAAGGCAGCCCCAAGAGGAGGGTCACAACTGAGACTTCAAAAAGACCTGAAGATCCTTTCATTGACGGCGCTTCCCCCTCCCTCTGATCACAGCCATGGACTGGAAAGGTGATAAATTAACGTTTTTATAGGAGAAGTGATGGGGAGGTGGGGGGGGGTGCAGGGAAACAACATGAAAGGAAGTGAACAGCTGCAATGAGCCTGAAAGGCAACAATGGAAAGTCCCCTGTCAATGGCTGCCTCTTTTCCATTAATGAGGATTCAGGACAGGTTCCTGGTAGCTTTATAATTCTTTGTATAGAAAGTCATAACACAGATAATTGCTACACATGTACCTTGCCGACGTCTCCTGTGATTTTAATTCTCTCCTCTCCCCCCCCCCCGCCCCTTTTCCATCAGACCCGGAATTAACAGCAATTTGTTGGAGAACGGTTTAACCACAACGAGGTAATGTGCTACTCAAGATCTTGAGTTGACTGTGCAAGTCCTGGTGAATTTGTGCTGCGATCACCGTTCCTAAGCTCCGTATGACTTCTGAGTGTGCAAAATGCTTTAGAGCAGTGTTTTTCAACCACTGTTCCGTGGCACACTAGTGTGCCGCGAGATGTTGCCTGGTGTGCCGTGGGAAAAATTGAAAAATTTGAAAGATTAAAAAAAATAAATTCAAATTTTCGCCCTCTAGGCGGGCGCCGGACTGTGTCCTGGGTATAGGGTGGGGTGGGGTTTTTGACCCCACCCTCGGCCAGCAGGGGCGCCGATTGGCGCTCCTCAGGGGGACACCCTCCACTTTTCTGATGTCCGGGCTGTGATTGGTCCAGACTACAGCTTGGACCTATCACAGTAGGACATCATCTTCCGACTTCCTTCCCGCCCAAGCACAGTGTGCGCAGCAGCGGAGAGAAGAAGACGTAGCGACTCGAGTCACCAGGAGGACCGGAGCAGGAGGAGACGGACAGAGACCAGGACTCGGCAGGAGTCGGCACTGCAGAGAGACCGCATCCGGATCCAGACCAGGCCGCAGGTGCAGCGTGAGGTGAGGAGGTCATCTGGAACCAGTCGGTCACGGTCGGGTCTCGGAAGAGATACGAGTGAGTCCAGCCCTGTGCAGCAGCAGCAGCCCGGTAAGTGAGTCCTCCTGTCAGTCCTCCTCCTCCTCATGCCTATACCATCTGTGCCATGCCTATTCCATCACCTGTGCCATGCCTATACCATCTGTGCCATGCCTGTATCATCACCTGTGCCATGCCTATTCCAGGTTGCGCACTGAATAAAGTATTTTATAATTTTTCATATTTCTGTTTACTTACTATTTCATAATAAAGTAATTATAAAATACTTTCTTTGTGTTTATTTGATTCCTATTCAAGGGAATTACTTTATATATAGTCAATATAGGCACAGAATTAATTTTTTTAACATTTTCTAATGGTGGTGTGCCTCGTGATTTTTTTTCATGAAATAAGTGTGCCTTTGCCCAAAAAAGGTTGAAAAACACTGCTTTAGAGCTCCTCGGTTTTATTGACTTAGGAGATGCGTCCTTGCGGCAAAATGCCCTTGACAGTCTTGAAGGTGCTGTAAGGCTTGTGTCTTCTCTACAATTAAACCCACAGTCAGAGTCAGCAATGCTTCTGAATACCAGTTGCTGGAAGCCACAGGAGGCGAGAGGGCTCGTGTTTGAATCCTGCTGGGGGTGGGGGCGTGTTGCCACAGGCACCTGGTTGGCCACTGTGAGAACAGGATGTTGGGACTAGATGGGCCACTGGCCGGATGCAACAGGCATCTCTCATGTCCTTATGACACTAGAAGGCATAGGAAGCCACTGCAGATGTGCTCAACCCTACTGCAAAATGTACGCAATAAGTTGCAAAGCTTTAGCATTTAGCTTGAATTATAATGCGCTGTTTGTCCAATTATTAATAGTGCTGTGGCACACCACCCTGATCTCCTAATGGTGCAAGACTAAACGACAACTCCAAGCCCATAGAAAATGAGACTGTTGCTACTCCACAGGGGGGTGTTAGGAGAAAAAAAAAAAACCTGCTCCTTTTCCCTTATGGGGCACCCAAGAGCCCATATAGAGTCCTTTTGTAGGTTCTCTATCGGTAGGAGAAAATAACAGAGACCAACCAGAGAATATTGAGAAGCAAAGCAGATAGTAAGCCTGATCTTTATTAAAGCTGTTGCAACAGGGTGCTCCCCCCCACACACACACACAGGAGGGGGGGAGGTACCCAAAACAAAGGTGTGCCCGCCCTTATATAGACTTTGAAATTGCCCACCCTCAAACTCCAGACCACCCCCAGAAACATCATACATACATCATAGAAGGGGTGTAGCCCAGGACCACTTCCCCCAATACAGTGGTACCTCGGGTTAAGAACTTAATTCGTTCTGAAGGTCCGTTCTTCACCTGAAACTGCTGTTCTCATCCTGAAGCAAAGTTCTTAACCCAAGGTACTATTTCTGGGTTAGCGGAGTCTGTAACCTGAAGCGTCTGTAACCCGAGGAACCACTGTACAGCATACCGTGGTACCTCGGGTTACATACGCTTCAGGTTATATACACTTCAGGTTACACACTCCGCTAACCCAGAAATAGTGCTCCAGGTTAAGAACTTTGCTTCAGGATAAGAACAGAAATCGTGTTCCGGTGGTGCGGCGGCAGCAGGAGGCCCCATTAGCTAAAGTGGTGCTTCAGGTTAAGAACAGTTTCAGGTTAAGAACGGACCTCTGGAACGAATTAAGTAATTAACCCGAGGTACCACTGTACATACATCACAGAATCCTGAGTGTGTTGTTTATCTCCTGTCTGCCATTTACCTGATTGCATTATCTGGGTTTTGGCCACTCTTTTGTTATTATAACTGCTTAATTCCTGAATCAAGGTCACAGGTTCACCCTATTCACACCGAAAATGTGCCCCTTAAGGCACAGAGACAATGGGGAGATTTCCCATTTCCTTCAACCTTGCAGAGAAATATTTGAGGTCATTTTGGGAGAGAGAAAATGGCTTCAGGACTTTTCTGTGGGTTTCAGACATGTGGTTTACAAATTTGTATGTGTTTGCTTGGTACATTTATGAACATCTATTTTACATATACAAGACCTTAAAATTCTTACAAGAAGGGGGAAACAGGAGCAAAGAAGGAACTATGAGATGTTTGGTCACAGTGTCCTCTGCCAATCTGGTTCCCTTCAGAAGTTTTTGACTACAACTCCCATCAGCCCCAGGCAGGTTGGGCTTGCTGGGGCTGATGGGAATTATAGTCCAAAACGTATGAAAGTAATCCAGCTAGCAAAGGCCGCTCTAAGCAATTATCAGCTCAAGTCATGTAAATTTAATGGAGATCATCTGCAATGCAGGCTTGCCCTTAAGCAACCAGTTTGACTCTGAACTCTGGGATGTTGCTGCTTTTTACAGCCTTTCAGAAGGGAATTCAACAGGAGTCTTGAAATCTAGACTTGGGTTGACCCAGATCCCAGTTCTTGCAGCTCCCTCTGTTGGACTCTGCATGTAGCTGTTTCTCTGAAATGCATGGAAAAGCAATCCCCCTGCAAAGTAATGTGTGCATCATATAGATGTCTGTGTTGTTACAGTAGAGATGAAGAAAAGAATGGTATTCAAAGCCCCAAAAATTAGAAGAGGAAAAACAGGCTTCATATCGCAAACACACAGAGAGAGATTGAAGCCAAAATACGGTAGCAGACACAGAGCCAACTAGGAAATGCCAGTCTCCATCTAAAGAGGCAGAACTCCCATTTAATTGTAGTGAGAGCTGTGAGGCACATTTGCATATCCACACACTTAAAACTGCTTTAATAATTCCATTTCCACAGGGAACCCTGCCTGGGCATTGCAACTTTCTCGGGAGAGAGGTCTCCAAACGAAAACGATCAGCAACACGAAACTTTGGGAGGGAAGCAATGGCTGTTTAAAACCAATGAAGGTTTGCATTGCAGCTATTCCGGCAGTTTCCCAATCCTTCAAACCAGCCTTCTGCTGCGCTTTGCACACAGGTAAATTTACTCACGAGGAGGCACCGTGGCACATCGCTTGAGAAAGGCATGTTTCTGTGTCTACTTTTATTCAAAAGTACAGATGAGGAATGGGGAAACTTAAGCCCTCCAGATATTGATCCCATCAGACCCAGGCAGCATGACCAATGTCCAAAGATGGGATTTGTAGTCCATCATCCTCAGCACAGCCACCTCAACCCTGGGATAGATGCGGTGCCATGCCACTTCAAGTTACAACACAGTTTTCCTTGTTCTTAAGAACATTCCCCCAAAGTACGCGTAGCGTCAATCAGTCCTGAAGGGTATAATTTGTCCGGTCTCTCACTTCTTGGCATTACGGTTTACCGTGTGATGGGCAGAGCTTTGACAGTGACTCTTCCTTCCTGAGTGGAGGACAGAGGGAGGTGTGCAAGTCTGGAAAGAAGCCAGCCATGGTAAAAATGTGCATTCACTGCTACTCCCACTTTTGCTTCTGGCCCCGCCCATCACTGCCAAGCGGCCCCTGGGAGGCTGCTTAGCAGGGTTATGCGGCCCTGAAAAAGATCCCGCACTCCTGAGGCACAGTTATAATGAAGTATCAAAGAAACAAAAGTGGCTCATTACGGGTGTCCAGATTTCGTACGCGATTCAAATTCCTCTTAATTGAATTCCTGTTTTATTATTGGCAGAGCGACACAGACCTTGCTCATTTAAAGAAGACGACGGATGGCCTGGTTTTGTCTCCTTTATTTTGGGCTGATGAGATTCAGCCAAAAAAAACAACAACAACCCAAGCCTGGCGGTTGTTCTCTTTCAAAAACCACCCATGGACCAGGGGCCAAAGGATCGCTCTCTCGATAGGCGCAGGCCGTATGAAACACCTGCATAGATCGCATCCACGTAAATAAATGCTACATTTACAAAAGGAAAACAGATGAGGTCACTTGAACACAACTGGTAGCTGCCATTGAGTGTAACGGGCAGGGGGACCATTTCAAGTATTGCAATGTGAAAATACACAGGCCATTGAAAGGAACAAGCAGCTGCTTGTCACCCTCTCTGTCTATAGTACAACCTAGCCGCAAGTCCTGATGCACAGACATGTTGAATTTCCCCAAATCGTCGTCTGCTAGTGGTGGGGAATAGGAGAAGACACAGGACATCAGGGTTTCAGGACACAGTAAGATGTACTAGATGTTGCTGAACTACAACTCCCGACACCTCTGGGGATGATGGGACTTGTAGTTAATCAACATCTCAAGGACCAAAGACTCCCCACAGCTGCACCAGATGTTACTAAAAATGGGCGGCACTAAGACACACAGCTGTGCATTAACCATAACACTAACTTTGGCATTTAACAGCTCCACAGAGATCTCTGAGAAATTCAAACTTCGCTTGTCTGCTAGTTCCTGGAACATTCGAAGAGGAGTCTTGGGATCAGACTCACAGGGTAGTATTCCACCAAGTTTTACTCAAAGAAAGCCTAATAAAATTAATGGGCCTAGTGTAGTCATGTTTAGTTATTTCAGTGGGTTCACTCTGAGCAAATGCCACCCAGGCTGCAGAAGGGCACCCCTGTATTAAGTTTTTCAGACGGAGCGCTGTCTGCAGAATTCTTCCCACTGCTGGTGTCAGAAACATAGGCCGAAGCCATCCCTGAGCCTGACCTCCAGGACGCCCAGATCTTTGCTCCTTCCAGCAATTGCAGACTTAAGGCACAAGAGGGTGAGTTAAGGACTAACATTCAGTTCTTTTAACATTCTCAGTTCACGTAAACACCGATGAAATATATAAACAGGCAATATTGTAGAGAGAAAAGGTAGAGAACTCGGGATTTTACAGAAGGTGCTTTTCCCTTGACTTACCCCAACATATTTTCCATCTGATCCTTGATCTGGGCTGGGGAAGAAGTGTCAAACAGCTCTCTCCCAAGAAGCCCAGTACACTATTTTATGCTGAAGGCTCAGAGCTTTCATGCTCCTCTGGTTAAAGGGACTCTCATAAGACACTCTATGCATCCACATTCCTGAGGCTACTGCCCTACAGACCTTGGAAGAAAGTGAGAGCCAGCAGGAAATCTAAATGGCCTCACTGTGCATTATATATAAAACAATATTGCAACTACATTTTCTCCTTTGTACGAGCCTCTAGCAAGCTCTCCACTAGGGGCTATGTCCTCGTTTCTTTGCTTATGTAATACAGCACACAACCTACAATGAACCAAAATCCCTACATCCTAATAAAATACAAATACACACACACACACACAAAGCAAAACTGAATGGTTCTGGAATAAAGGGGGGAAATTGTTGCCTATCTCTAGTGACGTTACAGGTACTAGCCAATTCCACCAGAGCACTTCAACCTAGACCAGGGTTTCCCAAACTTGGGTCTCTAGCAGATTTTGGACTACAGTTCCCATCATCCCTGACCACTGGTCCTGCTAGCTAGGGATGATGGGAACTGTAGTCCAAAGACCCAAGTTTGGGAAACCCTGACCTAGACAAAAATACATTAACAGGACCAGTGGGAGGAGCCAGAGCCCACATGGAATCTGGCAGGTTTATGGGCAGAGTCTGGCAGAATTCAGAGTTTACTGACTTTTCAGAGCCTAGTCCTGGTTTTCTGAGAGGAGACGGTTTTACCAGTCAAACCAGTTAAAATGCTGATTGAGTGGCAAGCCTACCTGCTGGCAGTGGAGAGAGGCCTAAGTTCACATTTTCCTTAGAGATTAAAAAAAATAAATACTGGTGTGTGCAGGAAATATATCCCTGCCTCCCAACAACAGGAACTCTTCCCTGGAGAAAACTGTCAGGATAACATCTAACAATTGAGAAGGAAGAAAAACAACTAAGCCATTATTGCTCACATACACGCTCTCACACAAAGCCATTATCTGGAAGTCTCGTGGTTAATGGCTGAGAAAACTCAAATTGCGTTGGGTCATTTTTGATAGGAGACCCACCAACAAGGGTCTCTGGAACAGAACATCAAAATGGTACATAAAAACTGCAGGTTTCACACACACTTGAGCTGTGACCTGGAGGACCAATGTTAAGGCTGCAGAAAACAACTTCTCTTTTTAACGGGCAGATCAGGCCTTGACTCTGCTCTTCCTGGGACTACGTTAAGTAGCCACAACTCTGTTGCGGTGGACTTTTGTGGGTGGTTGTTTGCAATTTGAACAACGTTTCCAGTAGAAAGAGAACCAGCTTGCAGTAGCTACAGGCAAGCTTGTTGGTATCACCATCATTCCGGACAGCTGCTAAAGGGGCAAAAGCACATCACTGGAACTGAAAATATCAGTAAGCCACTGGATATCCATTTGTCAATTTCTTCATTCATTCTTCATCCATTTCTTCATCCATAAAAACTATCTCGGTGTCCTGTTTAAATGCTGTGTTCTCCCATTCCAGACTTTGTGTCCTGTCTAAATCTTGGTCCCTACAGTTCTACAAAAGCAGAGTCTGTGTCCACCCTGTGGGCTTTCCCAAAGATGAGGAAAGTGCAAAGTCCAAAGGCGTTTACTGCTGCCACGAGATTGAAAACAGATACCCATGAACCAGTGATTTCGATCAGGTGTCCGGCTAGGTACACACAAACAACACCTACGTGCAGAAAGAAAGGGAACAGATTGGCAATTTAAAAAAAATTCCATACAATTAGCCTCTTGGGTCTTTTTGCTCATGGGGTAAAAAACCAAACCTTAACCAAAACACCTATTGATTTGATTACACCAGTTTACTTGAAAGATCTCCTGTCAACTGCTTTGACCTGCAGAAGAGTCACTTCTACAAACCTTGCCATTTTCATATGCAACGTTATTACGTAGATTTGTTTGAAAACCGCTGATGTGATTTATTTTTACATTTTAATCTGTTTTTAATGTTGATTTTTATCGGCGTTTTTTAATTAATATACCGTTTCATGCAAACTCCTTGGAAGGTTTTTGCGAATCGAGTGGTATGTAAATAAAATACAGTAAAAAAATGCGCTGTAAACACATTGACTATCTTTACA